ATTCATTATGGCGACCATGATGCAAGCAACATTTATTGCATCATCGTAGTGTTTTTTTGTAAGAGGCTAGTTGTTTAGGAGTAGTAATGGCTTCATCGACTTCAACGAGTTTTCTTCAAGGACATATTCTTTGCCCTCAAATCAAAGAGCAATTTTGATATTGCGTATTCAATCATTATAGTTGGAGCCATCAAAGGCCACTTTGGACACAACGGAGAGTAGGAAGAAACCCGAGTGGTGAAAAGACGAAGACGGAGCAGAAGCATCAACATGAGTAGACAAGTAGAGAGAAAAAGAATAGATTTAGTTAGATGACAATTATCCTTAATATTTTAACCCATAATAAATGAATAAGGTTAGGATCCAAAATAACAATTCACAACTAAAAAGAAGGATGTCGTAATCTTATTGCAAATTTATGAAGGTAGGTAAAAGCAATTTACCAATTTCAAAATATGAAATTCCTAGATCTTTTGAGATTCGTTGAATCTATCAATGACATGTTTAAGCTCAGATTATGCTCTTTTGTTTGTGACTGGTATACTGAGGATCACAAACAATATATGAATAACCATACAAATATGCTTGGCACTCTTGATGTCATTTATCATCTCATATTAATGTGTCAGTTAACCATATGTGCTCCATTAATTAATAATAATTTTCAAAATGCCCATTATTACTCTCTATAGTCATTATTAGTGTGTCGGTTAACCACACGAGCTCCACTAACTACTGTAAAGTATAATGTGTAATCTTATGGATTGGCATACTTTTCATATTTTCCTGAAGTAACTAAGAGTGGGATTTTATAAAAGGTTTAGTTACTTTTATAGCATTATACTTATTAATGAAGTTATGCCCTATCAAATCTGTTCGGCTAACGACCCTCCACCATACAAGAAAACTGTAGGTAAGAATGGATACCCAATGGCAGTCATTTTATAGGTCGCATCCTTAGACTTCCCTTATAGTATGGCTTTGTGAATGTGGTGTACTAGCGATTTGACTAACTTTGTCTTGTACATATAGTATATATTCAACTTTTAATTATATGTATAGTATAAAGTGTATTTTAAAACGTTTTCAAAATACTAGGTTTAAATCAAATTTTAGAAATTAAGATTTAACTTAATTTTCGAAATTAAAATAAAAATTATTTAAAATAAACCAATAAGATTTAATCTTTAGCTTTTAATTAACAATAAATTAAAATAATTTAAATCTTATAAGGATTAAGTAATTATTTACTATTAACAATTAATTAAATAATTTAAATTTAATCCTAATCCCTTCCCAACTAGATTTTCGAAAATTCAAGGGTTAAGGGTTATCCAATTTTTTTAATTATATTATTTTAAACAATTTAAAACAATAATCATCAAATAAGGAAATCCAAAAACCCCAGGAATTTCAAAAATTAGGGTGGAGGCTAGGTTTCAAGAACCCTAGCCAAAATCGAAAATTTAGTCCCTTAGGGTTTAATTTCTATAAACATTAATTTTGATATATTCAATTATTATGCAATTAAATTGAAAAACATATGCTCTAATACCACTTATTCGAATTATGGATAACAAAAATCATATTTTAGCGGAAAAATAAAATTCTAAATTCGCATACATCCTAAGGATCTAGGTTTTTCACTATTTGATGCAATAAACAATTTGAATATCAAGAACCCTACAAGAACCTTATGGTTTTTGAAATTAGTAAAAGGGTTACGAAACATACCTTTTGATTATGCTTGTAGATAGTTAAATCAAAATCCTTCTTGAAATTGCTTGGAAGCTAGCACCAGAAATCTCGTGCATCTGATTGTTCACACCCACCCATAGTATCAAGGAGGCTTAAAGAAAGAGGAGTGGAAGCTCAAAATTTCGGCCTTTGGCTTTTAAGAAGGGATGGACGAAATTGTGAAGGCCAGGTAGGTCTTTATATAGCTGAAGGAAACTTGGGGCCAAAGCTAGGTTTTCAAGATAAGGCCAAGGTTAATTAATATAATAATCAAACTATCTTATCTCCTTATCCCTTACCTCATGGACGAAAATTCTAAGCTTACCCTAGCTAATTTTCGTTCACCTCATTTCATGAGGTTCTACAGCCTTCCTCCTTTAACTTTCAATAAATAACCAAACAATCTCTGTACTTTTAATTAATCCAATTAATCTCAAATTTAATTATAATTAATTTTTTATTAATTATTAATTAAATAATATGATTTCTAATTAATATATTATTTTCATAACATATTAATAAATTCATTTATCTTGATTTCTAATTAATTTATTCACATAATAAATTAATAAATCACTCACTCACTCACTCTTTCTCTTTCTCTCTCTCTCTCTCTCTATAAGTCATCATTTTTTTCAATTACTAGGTTTGAGAACAACCTAAAAGGACTTTGCTAATAATTCAAGATTATACTAATTTAATAATTGACTTAGACACCTAATCAAACAGAATGTGTAGACTCAGCAACCACTGAAGAAGGAGGTGGGGGGGGGGGGGGATGTAGGTGCAATCGAGAATGTTTTTCATTTCAGTTAGTGTGGGAAAGCATTGTTGTTTTGCTGGATTTGAAAAAGTTAAAATAATTGTAATTTTGACTTTTAAGTTTGACAATTTGGTTGACTATGTATATGTGGCATTTTCTACAGATTGATTTAGGTAATAAGGATTAAAACGATATGTCACTTCCTACCTTATGCCCTTATAAAGTATGCAAATAAGTTAAGAGACTAAATGAGCAAATTCAAAATACTTTGTTGGGCTAATGTATGATTTCCCCTCTTATTTACCCTTTAGTCAAATTTAAGATTAATTATTTTCTTATTATATTATTCATTTTTTGCAATATGGGTATACCACATAAACAAGCATCCGAATTTTAAGGAAGAGCGATCCACCATAGACACTGAAAGAGGAAGATCGTCGGGAAAAAACAATAGAGAGAGAGGGAGGGAGGGAGGTCCCCGTCAATGGATTACATGCTTGGTGTTGATGACAATAATCATTAGAGAAAAGAAGCAGCCATGTCAGAAACATGTTATAGAACACATGTAGAAATGGTTTGAAAGTCGGAGAGAAAATAGGTGACAATTTTGTATTTTTAAATTTTTAATAGAAAATGGTGTGGTCTATAATGTTTTACTACATTTTAGTAAATAAGTTTTCTGCTACCATTATTCGGTAAATAAATTTATAATTATTACGACCTTGTTAATAATAAGGCTAACAAATATGTATTACGGAAAACCAACCAACATGTTACCAACCGAACCAAGAATATTGGTAACCAATATGCTTGGTTGGTAGTATCATACCAATCACAAAGTCATGGTACGGTTGTGGTACAAAGAATTCAATATCACAGTAGTACCATACCAACATATATATATATATATATATATATATATATATATATATATATATATATATATATAGTACATTTAAAATTTTAGTATGTTTTGTACTTACGGTTTACGAGCTTCAATATTAGCATTTACTGAATTAGTAAAATTTAAAGTTTTAAACTTATATTGGTATGTTTAATATTTCCTCCACCATTTAAACTTTTAAACTCATGATAGAAATTAATAAAATCATTTTAGATTGAATTTTCAATATCAAGTATTAGAAAACTCGTATTCACAACCCCCCCCCCCCCTATTGAAGTTTCACTATGTTTAAGAATACGAAAATCATCGTTCACAAAACCCTCATACATGTTGGTATATACCATTACCAACATGTAGCAACCGAACTTATTGGTAGCCAAACAAGTTGATACCAGCTATATTTGGTACGGTAATGATAATAAATTTTTTATATCAATTGTAATTAATACATATTTAATAAAAAAATGAATTAGTAACTATGAATTCCATCTGGTTAATAACTTGTATGAGTTATAACTTTTGTAGGATTGACTAAAAAGACATCTCATATTACAATTTGGACCCTAATTAATTTTTAAAATATTTTATTGATTGAAATTGAATTGTTTTTCGAAAAACTTATTATTTGTTGATGTAGCAACCGAACTTATTGGTAGCCAAACAAGTTGATACCAGCTATATTTGGTACGGTAATGATAATAAATTTTTTATATCAATTATAATTAGTACATATTTAATAAAAAAATGAATTAGTAACTATGAATTCCATCTAGTTAATAACTTGTATGAGTTATAACTTTTGTAGGGTTGGCTAAAAAGACATCTCATATTACAATTTGAACCCTAATTAATTTTTAAAATATTTTATTGATTGAAATTGAATTGTATTCAGAAAAACTAATTATTTGTTGATTTTTTATAAAAATATCAATAGGTTATTAGATGAATTCTTGAAAGTTGAAGTCGATTATGATTGATGATTGCCCAAGAGTTGACCTTCTTGTTCTCCTCCCCTTTAGCATGGTAGACATGACCCACGTACACTCCAAAACTCCACACTCCTCCTTTCCTTAGTGTTGGAGGTTTCACCTTTGAAAACAGTGGCGGATCTTAGTGGTGCCCCAGGGGTTCCAGGCCACTGCTTAGACGTCGGTGCGTAGTGTAAAAAAAATTAATGTTTTTTTATTGCGTAGACCGGTTTAATACACGAGTGATACTACTAATATAGATTTATTTGGAAATGAAATTTATTGTCAGCCTATGAAAATGTTCTGCATCCACAACTGTTGGAAAGCTACCTTTACACCACCATTCTTGCTATATATATCATCCCTCATCTTCTGCCTGATTCGCTCGCTTCCTACTTCCTTCATCATACCTTTTAAATTCGTTTCTTCCCAATTTCCTTCACTCGTTTCAATTCCCCAAATAGACATCAAAGATAACACATTCTATGATTATAGTTTCGCGGCCAAATCTTTCTTTCATCTAATTCACTTCTTTAGCCTGGCTATCTTCAAACTTCCTTCTCCTTAGCTCAACATTTATAAAAATCTCCCAAGTGTGTAACTTCAGAATTTTTTTTTTTTTTTTTTTTTTGAAAAAGAGAGGATCGTGATTAGTTCTGGCTCGTATTCAAACGATTGTGTAGCTATACCTTTTATAAAAATCGACAAATTACGTAAGGTACTTGCCATTGAACCTAGTCACCTACATCCTACTCAAAGAAAAAAAAAAAAAAAAAACGTATTTATAGCATATTATATAAGCCGGAGGGCAGAGGGCCGGACCGAGTGGTCGATATTTGAAATGGAAGGTGGGTATGGGCAAACGCCGCCTGTATCAGCGCCGGCGACGCCTGGAACGCCCGGAGGTCCGCTATTTACGTCCCTGCGAATCGACTCTCTGTCGTATAGTGACCGCAAGTCAATGCCCCGTTGCAAGTGTCTGCCTGTTGACGCTCCATCACTCGGTGCACCTCACTCCTGTTTCACTGATTTCCCTGCTCCCGACATCTCTCTCACCCGAAAGGTACTCTTCATTCTTCAGTTATCATCCTACTTTTCCAATTACTAAACAGTACGTTAATATTTTATTGGGGTGATGGGATTTACAGTTGGGAGCAGAATTCGTGGGAACGTTTATCTTAATATTCGCAGCAACAGCAGGGCCAATAGTGAACGAGAAATACTCAGGATCGGAGTCACTAATCGGAAATGCAGCATGTGCAGGGCTAGCCGTGATGATAATAATCCTTTCCACCGGTCATATCTCCGGAGCCCATTTAAACCCATCTCTCACCATCGCATTTGCAGCACTCCGTCACTTTCCATGGGCACAAGTCCCTGCTTACATCTTAGCACAAGTATCAGCCTCCATATGTGCTTCGTTTGCTCTCAAAGGCGTCTTCCATCCCTATATGTCCGGTGGTGTCACCGTCCCTTCCGTCAGCACCGGCCAAGCTTTCGCCCTTGAATTCCTCATAACCTTCAATCTCCTCTTTGTCGTCACAGCTGTTGCTACTGATACTCGTGCTGTACGTATAAGCACACCATTTACGTTTATCTTTTTCTTTAATTTAATTACAGTTTTTTCATTGATAGATGTGTGGATATTCAGGTGGGAGAATTGGCGGGTATTGCAGTTGGAGCTACTGTTATGCTCAACATTCTTGTTGCCGGGTAAGTCTATACTCGGAAAACGCTATTACACTGTTTATAATTTGTTGCAGAAATCGTAATCAATCTTGTTGTAATTAGGCCTTCGAGTGGTGGTTCAATGAACCCAGTGCGTACATTAGGTCCAGCAGTTGCAGCAGGGAACTACACAGTGCTATGGGTATACCTATTGGCACCGACCCTTGGAGCCCTTGCCGGAGCTGCAGTCTACACATTGGTCAAACTTCGAGCTGTCGAGGGAGAGCCACCACGTGAGGTCCGAAGCTTTCGTCGCTAGATCGATGCTGCCTGCTTGGGTATTGGCACAAAGGTATATACAATATACAAGTACTAATAAACAGGGGTGTAATTGCTTACTCTTGGGGGATGTGAGTGTGTGGTGCCAAATATTTCGTATATCTTATATGGTTTGCTAGGTTGCTTAGACGAGTAATCATGTATGTATTTTCAAAGTTGTGTTATGTAAGATCTTTGTTTAATTAATGACTCTTGAATTATATGTTTGATATTTGTGAGTCCATAATTACTTTCAAAAGAGTCCTTCTTGTAACATATATAGAGAGATAAGAGACATGTTGCGCCCACGCATGACACTAACACTCGACTCCGATACCATGTTTAAGATATGGGAGTCCTTGATTTTGTACTCTTTATTATAAGGTTTCTTTTGGATAGTAATCATGTACTCCTTTAACCTTTGGTTAGTAGGTAACCAAGGAAAACACATGGTGTGACATGTGGGTTGAGTTTATGTGGGTGTTATGATATGCACGTATGATAAGCATCCAAAAATAAGTAGATGGGAGTAAGATGAGTGCTTTAGGAAAAATCGATAAAATATGATATTTTGGATCGAGGAGGGAAAAATACTTAAGAGGTGAGTGTGAAGGGCTTTGAGCTAATAAGTTGATGGAAGGTGTGGATAAATGAAGAAACCAGAATTTATGCTTTGTACCTTAAATAATATTACTAGCTGGTCATTTCGAATGTTTAAAGACATGAAACCTCTCTATGGTTTTTAGTTGGTCATTTGGAATGATATGTCTTTAAGAGATTGAATATGAAATCAAAAGAGAATTTATTGAAAATTCAGATTTGTGATTAATAGAAGCATTTAAATATGTAAATGGGTGAGTTGTGATGATGATAAACTAATAATATTAAATTAATTAAAAAGGAAAATTCAAATTATAAAAGTTGAGGGGTTGAATATGTAACTTATGGAAACTGATTTGGAGAAAGAAATTGGGACATGGGGTAGATTGTGAAACATGGAGCATAAACCAGTGATTGAAATTGTAGATTGGAGTAACAAAATGGTTTATTATATATATAATAAATTGTGAGGACGCTTATGCACAGAGAACTTTTTCTTTTCTGAAATTCGCCACAAAAATTTATTCTTTTTGTAATTTGGCCCCTTATTTTCTTTTGCATTATTTTCGTTTGTTTTGAGTCGGTTGCTCCCTCCACCGCCTCTCCCACCCAATCAGATGTTGCACCGCCATGCCCTCGAATAAATCCATTCTTATTCAAATGTTGTCGGTTAAGCACTTGCTAAGATGGAAAAAAGAAATTCAGGCGTTGTTCAGTCCATCGACTCCTTCCACATTCCTCTTCTTGCAGCAGTCGTCGATTTCAACCAGTCCAATGGTAAAAGGTAACATTTTGCTTTGAACCGCCTTTCCCTGCGATACTATATGTTTGAAAGAAACACATACGCTATGATTTTCTCCCGTCTCCAACATCGGCTAGGGTTCGACACCGCCACGCACCACCCCCATGGTCAACGTCAGACGCAGACGTAGGCGATGAGCAAACCACAGAAGGTAGCAGCGGATCACTTCCTTGTCGTCGATTTGCCCCCTTCGCTGATTGGTTTGGTCAGGGGCTTCCATGTTTCCATTTTGCGTCCTTGCTTACCTACAAAGAAGCCAAAGCAGGGGGTATCTGCAACTTTTTGTGGTCCTGATATACTCCAATGGTTATGGGATTCCAAAGGATACCCAAAAGGTTTGATTTTCAGCTTTTAAACGTCAAATTTTAACTTTAATTCAAATATGATGAATTATGATTTTTGTGATTTTGGTTTTTAAGTCATAAGAGTTAGAAAGTGATTTAGATTATAAATTACATTGATTAGGGGAAAATAAACTGTTCTTTCCTATCTGTTTTGGTTCCTCGGACCTTCAAATAAGCAGAGAAATTGGTTTTGAATGTTAAAACAAACACCAAATTGAAGTTGAAAATTGTATATTTTTTATATAAGAATAAAAATTGATCCCTGTTTTGCTTTCCATTTTCTTTGATTTGGATTTCCATCTTCTCTTTATCCAACACAACTTTCGGGTTCTGCCATTTTATGTGGGTTAATTTCGACTTCCATATAAAGCTCATACCCACGTTTGTTTTCTTCCTTTGCTGCCGCCTGTCTTAATTGCTGGCTGGTCATATTTGCTCTAACAATCATCATGGAAGGTGAGTTAATTAAAATCTATACTACTACTCCCAATCTCATTTATTTATGCTATTATTGAGAATGATATTCCCTTCTTAGTCTCATGTATGTTATTGGACTCATGTATGTTATTCCCCTTGACTCCAAAAGTTGTTGACCTTGCTTTGATATTGCAGCATCATTCCCCAAGAAAATGATTCAGTTATACCCCCAACCCATTTAAGGTTGAAATTTGAAAGAAAGTTTGATAAGGCACTCCAAGTGCTCAATGAAATGCTTCAACCAAGTTTCTGAATTTTCATTCCAATATACTATTAGCCATTTTCATTCCAATATACTATTAGCCTGTGCTTTGATGCTTTATTGATACACTTGATCTTCATTTTTTTAACATATATAATTTTTGTTCACACAAAACATTATGTCTCAACAGAAACTTCCGTTAACACAACATATATTACTTAAATTTGCAAGCCTTATCAATTCAAAATAACTTTAGGAGTTAGTACTTATAATGAACTGTACTATTGGTTCATGGTCTCTTTTAAATTGAAAAAATTGATGGGTTTCATCATACCTAGGGGAGGATAGAAGAATTTCAGTTCCTTATTTCCCTTTTATTTTAAAGACCAAAATACCCTTGACGTATAAATGTAAAAAAAAATCAATTATATATTTTTTATAGTAAATAAAAATTATTTAGATATAAACAAAAACTTAAAAGCATTTAATCTTTATTATTGAATTCCATTCCATTTCCTACTGACCAAATGCGTGATAGGTGATAATTCTGTCATATTTCTATTCTTTTGACAATTCCATTCCAGAGTTTCACCACTTCACCCATCATTGTCTATTTATTTTTAAACAATTTCTTTTTCATTGGTTATAACTTATAACTTCGTGGCAAAATTCGTTTCAACCTATTGACAACAGGGGTCTTGCATTACACGTGCTTCAAAAATACATTCGTTTCCAAAACTTTTTCTACTTTATTTATGATGCTGGTTCCAAGTATTGAAATAGTGTTTGCAAAAACATGAGAGCTATTGTGGTTTGTTACACATCATGTTAGTTTTTCCTATGTTCTTTTAGTGTTCGCTTCTATTCTTTAGTTTGTCGGTAATTGCTAACTTTTCAATTCAGGCCCTATGGAAGGAAATAAATCATGTATATAGTTGAAAAACCAATATGATAGCGCATAATGTTAAGGTACATGCAGAGGATCTTTTGGAAGGCTGATGCATGCTATGGCTATGGCTCTGGAAATTGGAGTCATTTTAAGGAACCCCAACGCCTGCTGCAGCAGATCATTATTCTATATGTCCCATCACTATGCCATATTGGGTCTTGCCAGGTAAGCCTTTACCATATGCTATGATTTTGTAGTGCTTTCTAATTATTAAGAAAAATAAAAAGTTGTACCCTTTTTTTCATTGATAATTATATAGGCCCAGGACATTGCCATACACGGATGATAAAATTAAGGTATGATTTGTTCTTGGTTAATTAATTGTTGTTTTGGTTGTTGGGTTGTATTTCATAATTCATAATATTATTTTCATGTATATATATTTTACATTTTGTTGTTTGTTTAATATTTTGTTCTGGTTGGCTATACCATCAGTACTCTGCAAAGCTTAAATATGTCAAAGAAGTTGCAGAAAACACTGGTGTGACCTTGGCCAGTATACAGGTTTGACTTTTGAGCCATTAAACCCTTTGCCTTTGTAAAGAAACTGATTTTTGGTTTTTATTTTGTTTTTGTACTGACAAGGTGGCTTATGGAATGATGAAAGACATTGGATGGTGTAGAATGGAGCTACATCAGTATATTCCACGAAAAGATGGCATGGAAGAAATCACAATTATAGATCCCACGATCGTTCAGTTGGTTAAATCAATAAAATCGTGAATGAACTTTATCAATGACTATTGTTTGTTGTTGCAGATCATTAGTATAGAGTCATCAATGCATTACCTATAGCAAAAATTTACAACCGATGTCCTGGCTTTGTAGCATAACTCTTATTTTTGTGTAAAGAAATATAAGTAGAGAAAAGTATTGTAATGATGTTGCAATTATATGTATAGAAATGTAACTACACTGTTATTATATCTGGCCCGTGCAACGCACAGGAAACTTTACTAGTTAAAATAAATTTGGAGGTTGATAGATTGTGAAGCATAGAAGATAAGATAAATCAATGGATGTAAATATAACCTGGAATAATAATTCATGTTTGATGAACTTGACTACGCAATATGCTATTTGAACTTCACTACAACATATTTTGACAAAATAAATAAATAAATAAACAAAAAAAAATTAAAAAAACCCTCAAACTAAGTGATCCAATAGACTTTTATGAATAGATTTCAATAACATGATATCTTCCTTAATAAATGTACTTAATAAATGAATGTTTTTTTTAGACATGTCATCATCTAATTTAATATGTCATATGATATTTTTTTTTTAAAATTTCAATTTCATTTAAATCTACTTGGTAAATTATGGTTTTTGAGTTTTTTATTAAATTATAAAAAATTTAATCTAAAAACATAATAAAAAAAATAAGAAAACTTAAATGTCTCCATAAATTCTCACGTAATTTGTCAATTAATGGATTAAATTCAATTTAAGTTTAAATCAACATTCCTAATTGAAAAACATAATTTCCAGCCAATTTCTTTTGAGTTAATGATAATTTGTAGAAATTTTGCAAAAATTTGTTCATTCACAGCTAACATTTATATTATTTCCAAATTTAATTTTGTAGATTATTAAACATGTAATACTTAATAAAAATATACTAATTTTTTTAAATAAACTCGTGTATTATACGGATCTCACAACTAGTGTATTAACAAGATAATTTGGTTAAGACTCGACTCGATCTTTTCAGGGCCCTATGAGGATCGAGCCTGATTAATCACCTCTAATTCATATGTTAAATCTTGCCTTGAGTGTAACATAATTAATTCCAAGATGTCAGAAGCGCATAAGTTATATATAGTCAAAATAAAAGTTATAACTCTAACGTTGATTGAACTCTTTTCTAATACTGATATTATTCTTGTAATCATTTAATGAGTTGTACATACATTATGTAAGCCCTGCATCATACTTTTTGACGAAACAATACGAACCATGAGATGGGTTGTTGGAAGAATGTTCTTTCTCCATAAATATGAAATTTTCAAAACTCAAAAAGTTTCAAAAAGAAATTAAAGAAAAATAATTCAACAGACTTTGAGGGTTTCCTATCACTTTCACAAAAGATTGTGGACCACTCTAAAACATGAAGCGGTCCGGGGACTAATCTTTAATTTTGAAAACGTTTCGAGGACCATTCTGCAATTCTCCCGTAGTAAGCTAATCTATCGGCTATCACTGTCTAACCGGCAAAGGAGAACGAGAAAGATGGGAACGTTGCCGGTGGTTTACAGTCACCAGTTACAGGGATTCGCCTCTAATCATTTCGATTCTCAGTGCAACAAGGTGAACCATGTACGGAGGAGTCCAATTACTTCTTCTACAGTTTCCGCCGCAGTCGGAATTGAATCAATTTTCATTGGAAGCTGCAAGGTCCGACAGAGGCTGAGGAGGTTATCATCGTGCCCTTCAAGTCAAAGACCATACACTCGCCATCTCTGCAAGTCTCAACTTGTTCAAGATTTTGCCCCTGCAGCTTCTGCAGGTTACGCTATTCTTCTCCTCGGCGGTGGTCTGTTTGCCTGTAAGTTATTTAAATTGCTACCCATTTACCCTAACTGCGTAAATAGTTTGAAAACCTCCATCTTGATTTGTGCCTTTTTCTGGCGTGACTTCGCATTTTGCAACCAGACACCAAATCAGGAAGCAAAGGGTCGCTTTTTGGCGGACTTACGGGGGCAACTCTTATGTCTGTTGTAAGTGCTACACTGTTAATCCTTTTACCTCTGTTTGCGTTACTGGAATAAAAATCGTTTTTAGGTATTAGAATAAAGAAGCATAACTCCTTTGGTGATAGCTAACAATCTGAATTAGCTACCCAATGTACTCTCAGACGTGCAATTGTACTTGTTCAATGATATGAAAAAAAGAAAGATGCCATCACATCATGGCGGAAAGTACATTATATCCTATCAACATGAAAAAATACTCAGAGCCTCAGTTAATCCAAACAGAAGAGTTTGGAGCCACTATCAACAGGATAGATGACAATCTGTGGTCCAAAACTTGGAAATATAAAAAAAGATTATTGTACAATCCTTGACCTCAAGGTTAAGAATTAAACCAATTTTAACTTTTTCTTCAAATCATTATAGTCTTCACAAGTGCTGTCTTTAATGTCTGAGTTTGAATTTGTCCATTGAACCAAAACCTATTCAATGTTCTTTTGTCTTGTATCTTTAGGAACTCACTTTCTTAAGTAGAAAAGTGTGTTCCCCATTTTCCTTTTCTCTAAAGAAACATGGAACACATTTTCTATATGACATGGCATTGTCGATAATATTTGCCAAATGTTGAAGAAAGTTTCAACTCTTAATAAACTCAATCTCCCATTTCATCAATTGTTTCATTAGTAGAATACTTGGAATGAATGAATAATGAATATTAGTATAATACTTCAAAGACAGTTTACAAAATAAAAGTTTGTAACTAAAACTAAAACTGATTGTTTATCAACATCTAGCCTTATTCTTAGTCTACATCATGTTAAGGTCCCAAAGTTCTGTTGAAAAAACATATTAAGTAATCAATAGTCTTTGTTTTGAATCAACATAGCTTCCAGTTTGTTAAATAGAATGGAATGAAAAGTTGAGATATATAATCCTTTTTCATTTATGTAATTTTTAAAGCGAAATCTTTCCTTAGAAATTTCATGCTTTTGATTAAATTACAATTTTATCATCTAAAAGTAGATGGATAATATACTTTTTATTATAATCTTATATGAGCTCTAATGAACTTTCTTCTATGTTTAATTTTTCACTTTTTGGAAAAAAAAAAAAAAAAGTACCTTAATTATAATTAAAGTGAAAGTTATGGATTATGTATTATTATAATATAAATAAGTAACAACAACCATTCCCAAACCCCATAAATATATTGGGTGGGGTGTTACAATCTTACCTCCATCCGATGGTAGAGCGGCTCCTAATTAATTTTATTTATATAAAAATTTCTATGAAAATTCATTCTAAAAATTCTTACACACACGCCAACCAAACATCACCATTGAACGTAATGACTTATTCCATTCCATTCCATTCCTTGGTCATTCCATTCCATTCCATCTAATGAAACACACATTGCAGGCTTACTATCTTATGCAATCATCTGAGACAAAGGAGATAGGCGATGCACTTGCGTTTGGATCTTCTCTTCTTTTTGCTTCTATATTTGGTATCCGATATTTTTTTAAAATTATTAACACTTTTGGCTTATCATTTTCACCAATAATTTTACTTCCATTAACCATAAACTTTTAAATTTTATTTCTTCAGGAATTCGTCTTGCAGCCACACGGAAAGCAATTCCTGCGGGACTTCTATTAGGCCTTTCAGTCACTATAATGGCAGTCACCTTCTCAGCTTACCTACAAGATAGGATCTAATTAATGTTACATCTTTACCCTTTCATTTCCACTTTGTGGACACAATAAAACTTTTTTTTTCATCAGGTGTTGTATCGATAAATGATGATGTGAGAGGAAGTTTTGTATGAACATGTTTCTTGGAATGAGTGAACTGTCTGAATAATTGTAGATCATTATTTCATCCTTCTTGAATTATTGAATTAAAATAACTGTCTATTTGATAATCATTAAAAAAAATCTTGGAACATTACGCGTGTTTACATAAACCTCTCGTATCACAATATTATAACTAACAATATTACATCAACCAACAATTGCGTCCATTAGAAAATCGAATGCTAAACGACTCTACCCACTTTACATAAAGAATTAAGTACTATATTGCGAGTAGTAACATTAAAAGTAAGTGCGCGATAATTTATCTCAAAAGAAAAAAATTCATATATATGTGGTTTTTTATCAACGCTCCTAAGTCAAATATACAGATTTTGGTATTATCAATAAATAAATTAGATGACGAATAACATAACAAGAAGCCAAGAAAACTGAAAAGTGTAGGTGAAATGAAAGATCGAGGGTCCAAGGAAACAGAGAAAATACACGTGAATGTAAAGTTACCTGTATAGTGCGTCATTTACATTTATTCTTAATTTTTTTTGGAAGTTAGTGTATGATGCTAATGACTTTTGCATATTTGTTTGAAATCGCAAGTTTAGTGGTGGAGGGAATCATTCTTAAAAGCAGTGATATTCACATGACTAGTGGTGTTGGATGGGATACTAAATTTGGTTGTGAAGCAACTTAATGTATCAGAAACATCTACATCTACACGCACTAGATCCAATGCAAAAACTAAAATTGTATTCCTTCTTGTGACATTTAACTAAATAAGTATACAAAATAAGTTGATTGGTAATTAAAACCGAATAAAGATAGAAGAAGTTTATAAATATATAAATATGTTATAGTGCATACATTCAAACAATTAATCCAAAGTTTTTATTTAGAAATTAGCATGGCCCATCTCATTATCGATGGCACTAATGATCACTACGAATTTTATATCGATATATTTATATTTCTTTCTGTGGTTTGTTTGATTTATTTTATTATGAATGACAATAATGATTAATCTACGCATATAATATCGTTTTATATACATTTCTTTTTGCTCTTTTTGATTTGTCTTTCCTTCCCCGTTGGTTTTAAGCATTAATTAAAGAAGAGCCTTTACCATATATTATACTCCAAGTGAGAAGAGAGAAGGTGATATCCAATAATGTAGCAATACTTTATAATATGGTATTGTTGTGATGATGTGGTTTCTTTTTACTCATTCTTGTTAAAAATAAAGTCAAAAGACTAACCGACATAATAC